TGCTAGCCCGGTCATCCCCTAACTACCCTATTCTGCAGCCCTGGTCCCCACTTAATTGCCCTCCATTGTGGCCTGGTCATCCCCCAACTGCCCTCCCCTGCAGGCCTGGTCCCTCCCTCCCCAACTACCTTCTCCTGCAGACCTGGTCTCCCCCCAACTGCCCCTCTCCTGCTGGCCTGGTCACCCTCAACTGCCTTCCCCTGCAGACCTGAGTCCCCTTCCCACTACCCTCCCTTTCAGGCCTGGTCTCTCCCAACTACCCTCTTCTGCTGGCCTGATCACCCACAACTGCCCTCCCTTGCTGGCCATCTTGCTGGACATATTTGACCACAAGGGAAGGCCATATTGTATGTTGGAGTGACAGTCAATTTGCACATTGACTCTTTATTATATAGAATTGTTTATTATCTGTCTCCTCCCATTGACTATAAACTCCTTGTTGGTAGGGACTTTGTCTGTTTTATTAGTACGGTAACGTAAAATGAAACACTCTATGCTTTCAGTAAATTTTTGTTACATGACAACAAGACACCCATGTAAAACAAACATGGTGTCAAAACAAGCCAAAGGAAAATCATTTAGGCAAAAAATGAAAAAGGATCGCAAGTCAAGTTTATAGAAAGATTCCTTTATTAACTTTTGATCGAGAATATGTTTGTATATTTTCAGAAAATAACTCTGAGACCATGTGGATTCCTGCAACAGAGAGAAATTGACAGGAATGCTCCAGCCATGAAGACAGAAGAGAAACATTCCAGAGATGGAAGATGCTGACGATGCCTTGCCATACTAGTCAGCAACTGTGTGTCACCGCGGGTTGCCCAGGACCAAACTACAATATAATATCGGGTCTAGTAATAATTAATGTCGTTTTTAAACATTCATTTAAAATCTTGCTTGGCATTGACTTGTATTGACATAACCTTCAAACACATGGTATCTACAGAACGTGTGAGGTGCAATTAACAAGTTTTGCTTGAAAAAGTTTGTGTTTGGTTTGGTTTTTGTTGCAAAACTAGGGCTAAGAAGATGGCTGATGAAGAGCATATTCGGCACTGCATGCTTTACGAGTTCCAATTAGGAAGAAAAGCAAGTGAGGCTGCAAAAAACATCTGTAGTGCTCTTGGTCAAGATGCAGTTAGCGCCAGAAAATGCCAGCGTTGGTTTGAGAAATTTCGCGAGGGAAATTTTTCATTAGATGACAAGAGTGGTCGAGGCCGTGTGTCCAATTTTGATCAAGAAGCTCTTCAAGCTCTTTTGGTGCAAACTCCTCAAATTACCCAACAAGAGCTTGCGACAACTTTAAATTGTTCACAGAAAACAATTTCCAATCAATTGCGTGCACTTGGCAAAGTCCAAAAGTTTGGAAAATGGGTTCCTCATGAGTTGACCGACAACAACCGTAATCAAAGAGTCACAATTTGCAGTTCGCTCCTCTCTCGTCAAAACTGTTTGCCGTTTTTAGAGCAAATTGTTACCGGAGATGAACAATGGGTGCTGTATGTTAATTTGAAAAGGCGGCCTCAATGGTTGGACAAAAATGAGGCTCCGCAGCCCATGCCAAAACCTGACTTGCATGCGAAAAAAGTGATGTTGTGTGTTTGGTGGAATTTTAAAGGAATTCTTCATTATGAACTTTTACCATCTACCCAAACCATTACAAGTGCAGTGTATAGTGCCCAATTGGAAAGGTTAGCCCAAGCTTTAAGAGAAAAAGAACCCGCGCTGATTAATCGGAAGGGCGTAATTCTTCACCATGATAACGCACGACCGCATACTGCAAGAATCACTGCTGAAAAACTGCGCCAGTTGGAATGGGAAGTTCTCCCTCAACCTGCATATTCTCCTGATATTGCCCCTTCTGATTACCATTTGTTTCGTTCTTTGCAAAACTTTCTTCTTGGAAAAAAAATTAATAATGAAGAATGCCTCAAAAATGCATTGACCGAATTGTTTGCATCAAAATCACAAGAATTTTACAACAGAGGGATTAAAATGCTTCCTGAGCGTTGGGCACAAGTAGTAGAAAACAACGGCAACTACAATATATTGTTGATTAAATTTTGTTGTATTGTTTAAATAAATTTGATTTAAAAAGGTATTAGAAAATGGCATTAATTATTACTAGACCTAATAGAAGGGTTGGACCTGCATTACCACCATTTGTCCACTATCCAGAACTGGGATATCATTGCTGACATGTACACATAAGGAACTGTTTGACATAGAAATTGAGACTCAAAAGAACTGTTGGCCCAGAAAGAAACTCACTATAGACTGATTCATTTGCCTCTCAGCATAACCATTATTGCTTGTCTCATTTTCAGTTCTTAAAAGTGTATTTCTAGTATCACATGAGCTCAGTCATCTAGGGGAAATGATGAATAACATAGACTGATGAACAAGAACAGCATCGATCAGACTGTTGGACCTTAGAGGGAAGGTAGGGGATAAGGGAGAGAGATCAACCAAAGGACTTGTGTGCATGCATATGAGCCTAACCAGTGGTCATGGACAAGAGGGGGTGGGGAGGGATGCGTGGAGAGGGATTTGGGATGGAAATAGGGGGGATGATGACAAATATGTGATATCTTAATCAATAAAGTATTTAAAAATAAATAAAAAGATTTAAAAAATTGTTACATGAATGAAGTTTCTAGGAAGTTTTTTAAAAAAATCACTCATAGCCAAAACCGGTTTGGCTCAATGGATAGAGCGTCGGCTTGGGGACTGAAGGGACCCGGGTTCGATTCCGGTCAAGGGTATGTACCTTGGTTGCGGGCATATCCCCGGTAGGGGGTGTGCAAGAGGCAGCTGATCGATGACTCTCTCTCATTGATGTTTCTAACTCTCTATCTCTCTCCCTTCCTCTCTGTACAAAATCAATATTTAAAACAAATATTTACATCAAAAAAGAAAATAGGCTGGGGCCAGGTCATCCTTAAAAAATGACAGCTTTTAAAAAATAATAATAATAATAAATAAATAAATAAATAAATCACTCATAGCACAAATTTTAGTGTGAATTATATAAATCATTATTTTACTATTATTTTTGATACTTAGTTACCTCTGGTTTGTTATTATGCTTCTTTGTAACATCTATAAGTACACTTCTCTAGAAACATATAAAAAACATTATATGTTTTATTTTCAGTAAGAAGTAATAGAATTATTTCATTTCACTCATTTTCACCCCACCAAAATGGTATAGGTTTAGTAAGTTGAAACAATTCACTTTCCTTTCATTTACACATTTATCTGTGAAGGCAGCATGAAGTATGCCACAGGAATCGCCTCTCTTCTAGGCCTATTATGTATGCTTTGTAATTTACTGAAAATTGAAATCATCAGTAATCATTTCTTCCTGTTCTCTTGTCAGGTTACTGTCTTTTCTTTAGAGCTTTCTTTTCAGGTTTTGCCAACACATGTGTAAAAGTCATTTTGCCTCTTCTTTTAAAATGAAAATATGCCTACAAAGTTCAAAATTTTTAAATAGTATATTCCTAGATGGCACATACAAAAAAAAAAAAAAAAAGAGCAATTTCAAAGCAAAATTTTTTTTTTGCCCAATTCAGCACTTGCCATTCCCTAGAGATATGTAAATGAGTAAAAAAGAGCAGTTCATACATTTAAAAAAAAAAAAAAAAAGCACAATATACTAAGATGTAATTCAAATACTGGTAAGGGTCACTGTCAACATGGTTAGTCCAGGAGCACAATCTACCTTTAAATTATGTAAGCTGATGAAAGGGATAAAAGTTTGACATATATTTCTCTAAAGAGAGCAGGGTAAAAAATGGGCAATAAATCCATGAGAAAGTGGATATGGCCAGGCCAGCGTTATAGGAAAGGAACCAGGAAAAATCTATAACTGCAGAAACGGACAAGAGAACCTATGGTTAAAAGGGACCTCTAAAGTCTATGTATTAAAGATCTTTTGGATAATTTTCTTTGGATTGTGGTGTTTTTCCAAAAATTGAGCCTCTGGGTTTACAAAAATAAAAAGAATTCTCTTTTTAAGTTCATAATATTTTTTAAAAGCAATCCATAATGTAACTCCTTTAAATGCCTCCGTGCCCAGTTCCATAAATGTGCCTGACACTCTATAGTTTTTCATAAAACTTCCCTGGACATTTCAATGAGCTCCCAAAGTTGGTAAGATAAAACACAATGCTAAGAGAGTAGTCACAAATTCTAGCTATTTACCTGTAAGACTTTCTTTATGAAGCTCTATCACCCCAAGTAGCTAGTGTGGTTAAATGGATAATGATGTAAAACACCCAGACTGTGCTGGCACAGAGGAAGCACTCGATAAATATTAGCTATTCTTTGTGCACATGGCATTGCCCCAAGTCTTGGAAATGCTGTGTCTCCAAACTGACACTCCTGTTAACCTGCTTTGGAGGACAGTATCTTTGCCCCCAAACGAAGGCTGGCTCAGCATTTTTCAGCACTTTTGCATCCTATTTGAAGATCAGAAAAAAAAAAAGCACGATTCCAGCAGGTCCTAACTTAAGCATTGTCAATGAGAAAAGCAATCCAAAATGACAGCTGTCAGGAGGGGAAAAAAGGTTAATGTTAATAACTAGGTTTCGCAAAAGTAACTTTTCCCAGATAGCTAATACTAGACGTAACTGTGTAGCTAAGCCTCCAGAAAGTAGGGAACTACCGCCCTACTTCTTTCTTTTATAATTAAACTTCTTAAAAATGTTGACTATAAATGCTGTCCAGATCTTTTCTTTTCTGAACTATTCCAATTAGGCTTTCATCCACCTCATCTAAAACTACTTTATGAGGGCATTCAGGATCCAGTCATCAATCACCAGTACTCATCTACCATGATCTCTCCGCAGCACAACACAACTGGCCACTCCATTCCACCTCACTAGCAGCTCCTCTGGGTCTTGTATGCTGGATCCGTCTCCTGTCCTCAATCTCTTTTTCTTTTTTTTTAATTTATCGATTTTAGAAAAGGGGGGAGATAAACAGAAACATTGATTTGTTAGTCCACTTCTTGATGCATTCATTGACTGATTCTTGTGTGTGCCCTGACCAGGGCTGGAACCCACAACCTTGGTGTATTAGGATGATGCTCTACCTGACGAGGGCTGTCATCAACCTCTTAACACTGGTGATCTCATTCAGTCTCATAGATTTAAGAAGCATCTATGCTGATAACGCCTACATTTATATGTGTAGCCAGACTTCTCCCTTGGTCTTTAGATAATATGTTCAACTGCATCTTCAACAATTCCAGTTGGACATCTAAAATGCATCTCAAACCTAAAACATTCAAACTGAGCTACCCTAAAACCTACTCTACTGTCCTTATCTCAGAGAGTTACAGTGCCATCCTTATACTTGTGCAGGCAAAAAACAACTAAACAAAACAAACAAACAAACAAAACAAAAACCTGTGGTGTCATCATTGATTCCTTTTTTAGCCCCTATCAAATCTATTGGCCAATGCCACTAGCTCTACAATCAAATATAACAGACTCTAAAGCATTTCCCCCTATCTTCGCTGCTTCTAAGCCACTACCATCTTCTGTCTAAATTATTCTTGCTATCCTTGTCCCCCTCCCACCCACCAACCAGCAATTAGTTGGTACAGATGCCACAATTCCTCTGCTCACCACCCATTTCACTCAACCAAGCCACACAATATGGCCCCATTTCCTCTCTGACACTGTCAGTCTTATAGTCCTTTTCTTTCCTCTCCAGAGACCCCCACCCCTTACCATGTGTAGAACACACCAGGCATGTTCCCACATCAGAGTCAGCTGCTATTCCTTCAGCCTGGAACACTCTTTGACCAAACTGGCTTGTTCCTTAATCTTCTGTAGGCCATTACTCAGATGTCACCTTTATGATGAGGTCCTGCTGATTTGAAATTGCAAACATCACCCCATAAATATCCTAGTCCCTCTTTCCTGCTTTACTTATCTCTTGTTTATTGTCTGTCTTCCCATCCTATATAATAAAAGATTATTATGCAAATGAACTGAACAGTGAAACAACTGGTCACTATGATGCACAATGACTACCAGGGGGCAGATGTTCAACACAGAAGCTGACCCCTGGTGGTCAGTGCATACCCTGAGGGGGAGTGCTGCTCAGCCAGAAGCTGGTCTCATGGTTGGCAAGTGCAGCGGTGGTGGTAGGAGCCTCTCCCTATGGAGAATGGCCCTAAGCCTTCAACTGGACATCCCCTGAGGACTTCCAGACAAGAGAGGGCACAGGCCAAGCTGAATGACCTCCCTCCCCTCCGAGTGCATGAATTTATGCACCAGGCCTCTAGTCCTATATAATAAAAGCTTAATATGCTAAGTGTCTGGTTGTCCAGTAGGCCGCTCAACCAATCAAAGCGAAATATGCTAATGATATGCTAAGGCCACTCAACCGCTAGCTATGATGTGCACTGACCACCAGAGGGCAATTGGTTGACCAGTCACTGTGACATGCACTGACCACCAGGGGGTAGACGCTTAATGCAAGGGCTGCCCCCTGGTGGTCAGTGTGCTCCCACAGAGGAAGCATCACTCAGCCAGAAGCCGGGCTCACAGTGAACATAGCAACAGTGGCGGGAGCCTATCCTTCCTCCATGGCAGTGCTAAAGATGTCCGATTAATGGCTTAGGAGTGGGCCTAAGATGTCAGTCAGACATCCCCTGAGGGCTCCTAGACTGGGAGAGGGCGCAGGCTGGCTGAGGGACCCCCTCCCCCTGAGTGCATGAATTTCATGCTCCAGGCCTCTAATTAGAATATAATCTTTACTTTGTTGAATCTTAAATGACTGCAGTACTCAGGTTGTTCAGAGTTTTCATAGAGAAGTAATGTTCAGACATCAAGTATATCATGTTTAAAGACACACAATAATAAACTAGTATCATATGCATTTAGAACCAATAAGCAGTTTGGTTTGGTTGACTTAAAGTTTAAGCAGAAATTAAGACTACAAAAGTAAGCAGAGGTCTAACACTAAGCATTTACTATGTGACAATCATTGTTTTAATTCCTTTATTCTTTTTGAACAATTTAACCATTACAGCCAACCTTCTCCTACAAAGAAGGCACTATTGTTATCCCCATTTTACAGGGGTGCAAACTGAGGACAGAAAGGGTAAATGAGTTGGCCAAAGTCACTCAGTTAATAAATGAAAGTCAAATATAATGAAGTCAGGCAAACTTAACTGTTATCCTACACTGTCTTGTGCTAAGGATCTTCGGTTTCATGGTTTAGACAAGAAGGAACCACTAAAAGGTTTTATGCAAGGGGATAACATTTCAGGAAGATAACCCTAATAGCAGTGTGGAAAATGTATTAGCGAAGGACAAAGAGAACACAGCCAGATCTAGGCTGGAGATGTTGAAGGCAGGATTTAGAGTAGGGAGTATGAAGGAGGAAGTTAAGATTTCTAGAAACATCCAAAATGTATAAATTATTAGAAGTTTTGATAGTACTGTGCTGAAGACAGGAATTCCTGCTCTTCCATTTACCATACTCTCCATATACATTTACATTTTTTTAAATAAAAGATATCAAGCACTGAATGTAAATCAAAGTATCACTCTATCATCAGTTAATTTATCATCATCCAAATATCACAAAGCAGGAATCCATTAGTTTGGCTTAAGATGAAAATACAATCAAGGGCCTATATCTTTCCTTAAATCTAATTCTGTATCTTGGGATTTTCCCATTTTCAGACAAACCAGTAAATAAAGAAACCTGAAGTAGTCTGTGTTCAGCACACTTTCAACTCATGTACTGAGAAAACAAGAGATAATGAGATGACCATAAGATGAATGCTTAGGTTACATGAAGTGTTCTGGTTCAACTTACTACACTGACTATATGGAAAGAGGAGGTATAAAAGCAGTCCAGAAGGAAAAATGATGGCAGAATACCTCATGGAAGCAGAAATCCCTCAAGAGGGAGAATTGGAGGACAAGGGCAGCCCAATCACAAAGATAAGGAAATGAAAGACAGAAAGACTATGGCTGTGTGATTATTTACTGTATATTCTCCAACCTTGCTCACTAGTAAATACAGCCAAAATCCTAGACTCTGATCACTAGATTAGAAAAAGCCACCAGACACAAAGTGCGATGAAGAAGGGGCAAAAATCCAACAGGATCATCATACCATGGTCTGTCAATCAAAAGTTAAATTAATTCCAAGATAGTGAAGAGGGGACTGAAATTTTAACTCAATATTGAATTGTTTTGAAGGAAGCAGGTACTTCTGCAATTTCACCTGAAATCAGGCTGACATTTTGAATGTTAGAGAAGAAAAAGCTGGGTAGACCTCAGACCTCAGTGCCTAATATTAGTTGGGGTGGGACATATAGCCTCTTTAGAAGATCAAGAGCAAAACGTTAAAAGTATTCCAGACAATGGAAGATATTATCTGGCATAAGAACCAAGAGACAATAATCCTTCCATGCTTAAAAAAACAGATAATGGCAAGACTTTCTATTAGCTATCTAGCTGAATGATAGACCTTAAAATATCTAAAACTAAATTACACTTGGGAAAAGGAATTCTAGTCCAATAGATTTCTAGACTGTTCTAAATACTGGGCACATGGAAATGATTCAACAACACATATCACTTACTCATTTAAATCTTCTTAGGTTCAATTTTTCTGGTAAAGAGGCTTACCTCTCTCACCAATCAGACCTAATGATCCTTCTGGAAAAGCTCATTAGTCTTATCAAGAAGCATCTCTTTTGATAACAGAAAGATAATTACTTTTAACACAGCCTGTCTTTAAAAATATATAATGCCAAACAAAATGAGAATTTACTAACATACAGATCATAGAAAACAGGAATGTAAAAAACTTTCAATTATGACAAAATCACCACATATCTGATGTTATTGCTTTTAGAATCCAATTGGGCAGAAATTATAAAATAACAACACCAACAACAGGCAAGTCTGCTTTGAAAGAATTATATTCATACATAAATTTTAAAAAGATTTAATTGCATCTACTCAATTTGATAACTTAATAATATAGAAAATAAGCCATATGCAACTTTCAAATTTTATTTTAGGTTGAAAGTCACATTTTTGTATGTTTCATTCTGATGCATCTATAATATACATCTGTAACTATCTCATATATCACAAAAGAAATTTTTGCTTTTCATAAGCCCAACTGTCTCGTAAGGAATTTGAATTGAGCGCTCTCCCAACTGGACTGTAAAATCCTTAAGGATTATATCTCTAGCTCGAAGGAGGCAAAGTGCAGAGAACAAGTGCCCAATAAGTATTTGTTGAATGAATGAATAAAAATTGAATAAATCTTGTTGCCAATGTGTGGTTTAGAAGAGTTTTCTTAATCTGGATAGTGAAATCCTGGCAGGAACATGATGTGTATTATAAAATTTAATTTTTGGATGGGACCTGGAGATTAGCAGAAGTTCTCTGCCTAGCAGAGGAAGAAAAGCTTGAAAGCTCCAAGGCGAAATCCTAGAGGGAAAGAGAATCAACAAGATTGGACACTAAGAGATGAAAGTGTACAAGGAACCTGTTTTTGCCTCTTGCCTCTTACTCCTCCACCCCCATACTCTCCTTGTCCAGATAATTCCTTTTAATCTTCACCCATCCACATCCCCAGTAAGGTCAAACCTCTCCATTAAATGTTCTCAAGTACCATGTACCTCTTTTTCACAACACTTATCACAGTTAGAATTTTACATCAATCTGTGTGTCTGCTTGATTACCTGGCTCCCCTACTGATCTATATGCTCTATGAAAATGGGGACCTGTCTTCTTTTTGCTCATTATTAACTACCCAGTGCCAAGATCAATGCTGGACTTATTAAATATATTTGATGGAAAAATAAAAAATATCTCACACAGTTTAAAAGATTTTTAACATTTGTTCCATTACTAATGGAATGAATATTAAAGTTTTCTTCCCTTCTCCGAGTGAAAGCCTGAAAAAGTCTACCTCTGTCACTAATGCTTCTGTTGGAGAGGACTCTTCTGATGGAACGATAAGCTGTGTTGAGTTCCACATCTGGGACAACATGATGCAGCACAAATTTAGCATAAAGGATAAAGAAAATCAGAGTCAGGGCAGCTCACTAAAAAAGTTAAGTCCTAGGACCTCTCATATATCTTTGGAGATTTTCCAAGACGATGGAATGGGGGGAGAGGGGAGATCTGAGGCACTCTTACCTAGATTGCATGAACTGGAAGACTCCAAGGGACCCCTGGGTTATACATATATGAATTGGACATTTAAAGACTCATTAAAAACAGAGATCTAGACAGAAAGAATACTACCTATGAGTTTCAAGGGAAAGAATAACAAATAAAACGAAACTTGACAAAAGTATCCTATATAATAAAGAGATAATATGCAAATTAACCCTCAAGTCATCACATGATGGCAGCCTTTGACCAGGCCAGCAGAGGGATTAGTGAGGAACAACCAAATGACTGAACAGCAGGCTGCGTGGGGCAACCAGGCTGACCGGAGGGTTATTGAGAGACGACAAAATAACTAACAACAGGCTGCATGGGGTTACCAGGCCAGTGGGTGGAGGAGGGGGGCAGTTGAGGGGATCTGAGCCTGCAGGGGAGGGAGAACAATTGGGGGAGACCAGGCCAGTTGGGGTAGGGGGACAGTTAAAAGCGACCAGGCTGGTGCAAGGGCAGTTAGGGGCAATCAGTCAGCATGCAGAGGCAGTGAGAGGTGATCAGGCCAGCAGACGGGGGCAGTTAGAAGTGACCAGGCAGGAAGGCAGATGAGCAATTAGGAGCCAGTTGTCCAGGATTGTGAGAGGGATGTCTGACTGCCAGTTTAGGCCTAATTTCTGGGATCAGGCCTAAACCGACAGTCGGACATCCCCCTGAGGTGTCCTGGATTAGATAGGGTGCAGGCTGGGCTGAGGGGACCCCCCCGGGGACCCCCCCCCCCATCGCCGTGCAGATTTCATGCATCAGGCCTCTAGTATATAAGAAAAAATAAATTGTTTTT